ATGAGATGCCATATGTTGCTGCAACCAGTATCTTGAACATTCATGTGAATAAGAATAGCATCTTCAGACTTGCTAAGCAGGATTAATTTACAAAGACACTGAGTCTCAGTCATTAATGAATATGAAATTTAAAATTATATTGGAGTTGTAGCAGATGTCAGTTTAGCATACCTTCCACTAAATATTCAGCATTTCTTCCCAATTTGAAACAAATGGTTCTTTGGCAAATTGTTTTAAAGACAATTCTGTGGCTGGTTTAAAACATACAAATTTTTCCAAATTGTTGATATAAAAGTTTTCTGGGAAAGATTCTACTGAAGTTTTACCAATGTATACTTTTTATCCCAAGGTATTATTTCCTTTAGGACTTCCGGATAATGTATTATACATTTTATATATAATATATAAGATGTTGTAATATATGAGTGTTGCTATTTCACTCTTCATTGTTTTTCTGAAATGTTAACAAGATTCTTAGGCTTCCCCTGTGCAGTTTTGTTTCAGATAAGTGGACATCAGATATGTTTCTTGAATATTAAGCCTCTTTAATGTCCAGTATAGAGCTCTTGTGGCTACCATTAGGTTTTTCATGTTTGCCAACTGGCCTTGCCACTAGCGCATGACATTAGACATTAGCAGCTATTGCTTCCAGGTCATCTGCTCATATTCCCTCTTTTAAAAAATTAATATGCTGGCCGCGCGCGGTGGCTCACGCCTGTAATCCTAGCACTCTGGGAGGCCGAGGCGGGCGGATTGCTCAAGGTCAGGAGTTCAAAACCAGCCTGAACGAGACCCCGTCTCTACTATAAAAAAAAAAAAATAGAAAGAAATTAATTGGCCAACTAATATATCAATTAGCCGGGCATGGTGGTGCATGTAGACTGTTCAACTCTCAACACTCCCAGTATGACAGAAGCACAGGTGTCCGTTTCCAAGGGTAAATACTATTTACTTCAATCTCTACTTTTCTTCTACACACGATGTCCAGAATTCAATCTGAGAGACAGACATAAGGAAACACCAACAAATTGTCAAGAAATGAGACAATAAACAGAATAGACCCAGAGATCACTCAGATGATAGACTCTAAAATAACTATGAATTGGCTATTTTTAAAAATCCCGCAAAACAGAAAACAAGTGTTGGCAAGATTCTGAAGAAACTGTAGTATAGCCATTATGGAAAACAGTATGGAGGTTCCTCAAAAAATTAAAAATAGAACCACCATATGATCCAGCAATTTCACTGCTAGGTATATATCCAAAGGAAATCAGTATGTTGAAGAGACATCTGCACTCCCATGTTCACTGCAGCACTATTCACAATAGCCCAAGATATGGAATCCATCTAAGTGTCCACCACCTGACAAACGGATAAAGAAAATGTGGTGTATATATACACGACAGAATACTATTCAGCCTTAAAAAAAGAAAGAAATCCTGTCGCTTGTGAAACAAAAATAAATTTGGAGGACATTATATTAAGTGAAATAAACCAGGCACAAAAAGCCAAGTATCAGGCTAGGTGTAGCAGTTCATGCTTATAATCCTAGCACTCTGGGAGGCCAAGGCAGGGGGATAGCTTGAGCTCAGGAGTTCAATACCAGCCTGAGCAAGAGTGAGACCCTGTCTCTAAAAAATAAAAAAGGCAAATAGCACATGATATCATATATATGTATACACATATTTTATATATGTGTGTGTATATACATTTTCCACATATATATCTATATATGGAATTTTTTAAAGTCAAACCTATAGAAGCAAAGAGGAGAACAGTGGTTACCAGGACCAGAGAGGAGGGGGAAGTAGGAAGATGCCGATGAAAGGATATAAAATTTCAGTTGGACAGGAAAAATAAGTTCAAGAGTGCTAATGTACAACAAGGTGACTGTAGTTAATAACAACATACTGTATAATACTTGAAAATTGCTAAGAGAGTAGAACTGAAGTGTTCTCACCACACACACACATAAAAAATATGTGAGGTAGTGAATATGTTAATTGGCTTGATTTAGCCATTCTACAATGTATTCATATATCAAAATATCCTGCTGTACACCATAAGTATATACAACTTGTATTCATCAATTAAAGAAAATAAATTTTAGAAAAGAACGTGAAAAAATCAGAACCCTTATACTTTGCTGGTGGGCATGTGAAATGTTGTAGCCCCTGTGGAAAACAGTTTGGCAGTTTCTCATAAATTTACACATATGTTCATGTAAAAATCTGAACATCAATGTTCATAGTAGCATTATTCATAATAGCCAAAAGTATCAACAACACAAATGCCCATCAACCAATGAAAGGATAAACAAAATGTGGCATATGCATCCATACATTAGAATAATATTTGATCATTAAAAAAAATGAAGTACTGATACATGCTTCAACATGGATGAATCTTGAAAACATTATGCTACGTGAAAGAAGCCAGATACAAAAGACCACATATTGTATGTTTCCACTTATAGGAAATAACATAAAATTGGATATGGCAGAGAGGATAGCTAGGACTCGCACAAAAGATCGTCGCCAATGGAAGCTCCATAATATAGGTCGCACTTACAGAACAAACATTCGAAACCAAAAGCCTAAATTAAAAGAAATGGAACACACAGAATCATACAAAGCCAAAAGATATCAGTTAAACAATATCCAACTAAAGTAAAAGAAAGAAAGGAAAAAGAAGAAACGAAAAGAAAACTACCGGGCGTGTGCTCACCGCTGAATCTACACTCCGGGAGCCAGCGGGCGATGCTCGAGTCAGGAAGTCGAAACCAGCTGACAAGAGCGAACCGCTGTCTCACTATAATAAAAGAAATAATTGCCAACTAAATCATAATAAAAAAATAGCCCGCATGTGCGCAGCTATCCAGCTACTTGAGCGAGGCAAAGATTACTTAGCCAGATGAGTTGCGAGGCTAGCTGACCGCACGCACTCCTATATCCTGGCAACAAGCGAGACTCGTCCAAAAAAAAAAAAAGAAAGAAACCAACAGCAGAGCCACACCTGTAAGCACACTTTGGAAGCCAACGGGAAAGGATCACTTAGCAAGTCCAAAGACCAGCTCAAGAATATCAACTGTCTCTAGAAAAATAAAACTACCAGATATCGCGAACATCCTGACTATTATGGAGGTAGCAGGACGATGCTGACTCAGGAATTTTGATGCGCCAATTACTGGATTGCCGCACTCCAGCCTAAAGCAAGCGAACCCGTCTACATAAAAATGAAGAAAAATAAAAAAGAAACAGAGATCATCAATCTAGAGCAATATCCTAAAAAGTAAAGCCAAAACAGAGTAAAAGAATTAGAAAGAAAACGAGTGTCCAGCAAAAAAATACCAAAAAACACACAGACAATATATGAAATTTCCGAAAGCGAGAAAGAAAGTTAAAATCTTGAGAAGAGGTCACATAAAAAAATGAATGAACATCTGGGCACATGGCTCATGCCTTAGCATTTGAGCCAAGCATGAGGAAATCGCTTAGACAGATGAGATACCGCAACATAGTGAGACCCTGTCACCCCCACCCCTCCCTCCAAAATAGCTATCCAGATAACATGCCTGAGACACAGTCAGAGACAGCCCAGGAAGGATTGCTCAAACCCAGGAGTTAAAGTTAAGTGACAGATGCATCACGCACTCCAACCTGGCAAGAGATAGGGAAAGAATGAAATAACTCAAATCTAGATCAAATCCTCTCTAACCTTCGATATTTACCCACCAAGTAACAACAACAAAGGGCACAAATACAATATATATATACCGTATACTAGATAAGTAATTAATAACATTAATGATGTATAATATATTAAAAACAATAACAAACAACACAAAAATCACGTAAAATGACTCCTTCTACCAATCTCACCACTAGTAAAGAGCACAACAGTTGCTGCGAAGATCGAGCAGGAGTGATCAGGCCTTGCGAACTGAAAGCGCGAGCACAGACAATGAAAAACCTTCCAGCATCCCAGAACCCGATCTACACAAACATAACAGGCTCATCAGTCTTGAAGGACACGAATCCTGGTATACTAAGGAACTGATAGCAACAAAATCCAAACAGATATGGCAAGGCCAGTTGGCAAACATGAAAAACCTAATGGTAGCCACAAGAGCTCTATACTGGACATTAAAGAGGCTTAATATTCAAGAAACATATCTGATGTCCACTTATCTGAAACAAAACTGCACAGGGGAAGCTTAAGAATCTTGTTAACATTTCAGAAAAACAATGAAGAGTGAAACAGCAACACTCATATATTACACACATCTTATATATTATATATAAAATGTATAATACATTATCCGGAAGTCCTAAAGGAAATAATACCTTGGGATAAAAAGTATACATTGGTAAAACTTCAGTAGAATCTTTCCCAGAAAACTTTTATATCAACAATTTGGAAAAATTTGTATGTTTTAAACCAGCCACAGAATTGTCTTTAAAACAATTTGCCAAAGAACCATTTGTTTCAAATTGGGAAGAAATGCTGAATATTTAGTGGAAGGTATGCTAAACTGACATCTGCTACAACTCCAATATAATTTTAAATTTCATATTCATTAATGACTGAGACTCAGTGTCTTTGTAAATTAATCCTGCTTAGCAAGTCTGAAGATGCTATTCTTATTCACATGAATGTTCAAGATACTGGTTGCAGCAACATATGGCATCTCATGCATTAAATACACTAAAATTCTTAGGAAAAGCACAATTTTTAAATTGTAGGAATCTGTTACCAAGGAAAAGGGGGAGGGGTGGGAGGGAATGACACACACTTTCTCGTGCAGTGTAAGAATATACTGCAAGTTTCAGATATCACATTCAAACCACCTTTTAAAAGCAAAGCCATTTTCCCCAATAACATCCTAAGATGTCCAGTTTCTCAGGAAAATGTCCCATCCAAAAGTCACCCTTTATAGTAAGTCTATAAATGCCCAGCTTCTTTCAACAAGAACAATTAACTGCCTTTTTCTTTTCCAGAACAACCAGCTGGTTAACCAAACAGAGAAACCAAACTTCCACAGTCACCAGATGTCTTAATTTGGAACAGTCAGAAGCAATGTGAAATAATCCAATTCTTGAATTGGTACTATATGTTTACTATTTCTTTTTTTTCTAATTCTGAAAAGACACTTTGAAGAATTAAGCACATGTTGTCTTTAATAACTGAAAAAAAAACAAAACACAACAAAACCCTAGGAAAAATAAAAAGAACCATGTCCTATTATAAAATGATATACATTATCTACGAGCCAGCTACCTGAATATTATGTATGTTATAGTTAGAAATTGATAAGCTCTAACAACATTAAATCTACTCAAAAGTTCTAAAGAATTACCCTACTCGAGAATTCAAAAACAATTCCTGAAGGGTTATGACATGATAGGCCTAGAACATACTGGATTAAGCAAAGAACATAGACAAAGTCCCTGCCCTCATGGGAGGATAAATGGCTACATAGATAATTATAATAATAAAAATAGCCAGTGATGAGTGTTATAAAAAATAATATAGTATAACGTAAGAAAAATGAGGCAGGAGAGGCCTTTTATTTAATAGATTCAACCATTAAGAGAAAGCCTCTCCCATGAGGAGGTGGCAACTGATCTGAGACCAGAAGGAAATGAGGGAACAAAGTATTGGACTACATGGGGCAAGATCGCTGTCGGCAGAAAAAAACAGAAAGTTGGCACGTACAGCTAAAGTTGAGTCAGAGAAAGGAAGAGTGGCACAGGAAATGAATGAAAGAGGTTGCTGGAGCCAGATAAGAGCTCTGCAGGCCATGGTAAGAACTTTGGATTTTATTGTCAAGTGAGAAAGAAGGTCACTGCGGGTTCAGAGCAGGTAAGAAGACACTGGACTCCTCTGGCTGCTGCCTGGAGAGCAGGCTTCACGGCAAGAGTAAGAGTAGAGGTTTGGGAAAACTTCTGGGAAAGAAATATGATGGCAAGGAGAAGAGGGTGGACTCTGGTCATAAAAATGAAAGAGGAATAAACAGAACTTTCTGGTAAGATTGCAAGTGGGGTGGGTATAAGAAGAGTAATCAAAAGTGACTCCTAGGTTTCTGGCCTAACCAACAAGGCAAATATACTATTGGCATATTAGTTTTAGGAAAATTACAAGCTTTTAAGATAATTACAAGATGATTAATTAGACAATTAAATAATTATTCAGTTGTTTAAGTAGGCTTTGTTGACAATTTGAGGTATATTAATACAATGGATTCTACACAGTAATAAAAAACATACATGTAACAACATGGATGAATCTCAGAACTGTTTAGTGGAATGAAAACTGACAAAATTCTTAAACTTTGTAGAAATGAAATCATATAGTACTCATTTGTGTCAGACTGCAGAGTAATATATGATTTCATTTCTATAAAGTTTAAGAAGAGGCAAAACGAATGTATAATGATAGAAGTTAGAATACTAGTTATCTTTTGGGGATGTATAAACTGGGAAAGAGAACAAAGGAAAAAATCTGGTGATGACTATGCACAGGTGTATACATTTGAAAATAAAAAACCATCATGGGGCTCACTTTAGCATTGTATATACTAAAATTGGGATGATGCAGAGAGGATTAGCATGGACTCTGCACAAGAATGATCGTGCCAATTTGTGAAGCATTCCATATTTTTAGGTGTACTTTAACAAAGAAGAAAAACATTCAGAGGACAACAAAGAGCTCTTAGAAGTTAAAAGTAAGATGGTAAATATACAGAATCTATACAAGAGCCAAAAGATACAGTTAAACAATACTCCCAACTAAAGTAGAAAAGAAAGAGAAGGAAAAGAAAAAAAGAAAAGAAAACTAGGCCGGGCGTGGTGGCTCACGCCTGTAATCCTAGCACTCTGGGAGGCCGAGGCGGGCGGATTGCTCGAGGTCAGGAGTTCGAAACCAGCCTGAGCAAGAGCGAGACCCTGTCTCTACTATAAATAGAAAGAAATTAATTGGCCAACTAATATATATATATAAAAAAATTAGCCGGGCATGGTGGCGCATGCCTGTAGTCCCAGCTACTTGGGAGGCTGAGGCAGAAGGATTACTTAAGCCCAGGAGTTTGAGGTTGCTGTAGGCTAGGCTGACGCCACGGCACTCACTATAGCCTGGGCAACAAGCGAGACTCTGTCTCAAAAAAAAAAAAAGAAAAGAAAACCAAGCCAGGCATGGTAGCTCACACCTGTAATTTCAGCACTTTGGAAGGCCAAGGGGGAAGGATCACTTCAAGCCAGGAGTTCAAGACCAGCCTGGGCAACATAGCAGGACCCTGTCTCTAGGAAAAAATAAGAAAACTAGCCAGATATCGTGACACATGCCTAGCTATTCAGGAGGTTTAGGCAGGAGGATTGCTTGAGCTCAGGAATTTGATGCTGCAGTGAACTGTGATTGCACTGCACTCCAGCCTAGATGACAGCGAAGACCCTGTCTCTAATAAAAAATGAAGGAAAAAAAAAAAAAAAGAAAATCAGAGGACTCATCAATCTAGGAAGTCAAATATCCTAAAAATGAAAAGTCCAGAAACAGAGTACAAAGAAATTAGAACAGAAAAACTGAGTGTCCAGCAAAAAAGATACCAAAAAAGACCCACACCCAGGCACATATATCTTGAAATTTCCGAATGCTGGAGAAAAAGGAAAGATTCTAAAAGTGTCCTTGTAGAAAAGAGGTCACATAAAAAAATTGAAGAATCATCTGGGCACAATGGCTCATGCCTTAGCATTTTGGGAGGCCAAGGCATGAGGATCGCTTGAGACCAGGAGTTTGAGATTAGCCTGGGCAACATAGTGAGACCCTGTCCCCACCTCCCACCCCTCCCTCAAAAATTAGCTATTTGCAATGATACATGCCTGTAGACCTAGTCAGGAGGCTGAGCCAGGAGGATTGCTCAAACCCAGGAGTTTAAAGTTATAGTGAGCCAGGATGGCATCACTGCACTCCAACCTGGGCAAGAGAGTGAGGGAAAAAATGAAATAATGCCTTCAAAATTCTAGATCAAAATTCTCTCTAACCTTGACTTATTTTAGCCAGCCAAGTTAACAATCAATCAAATGGTGGCACAGAAATACAGATATACATATATATATATACATATATATATATATATATGAAAACCAAAACAAACAAACACAAAAATCAAGTAGAAGAATGACTCTGTTTCTACCAAGTCTCACACTAAGTAAAGAGCACCAACAGTTGGCTGCTGGAGGATGCAGAGCATGGAGCGATCAGGGCTTGCTGAAACTGAGAGCGGAGCACAGACAATGAGAATAACCTTCCAGCATCCCAGACCCGATGCTAAGCACAAGATAGTAACAGCTCACAGCTGAAGGAATCTGAAGTCAGTGGTATACTAAGGTAACTATAGCAACAACAAAATCCAAACCAGATTAGACTGTTCAACTCTCAACACTCCCAGTATGACAGAAGCACAGGTGTCCGTTTCCAAGGGTAAATACTATTTACTTCAATCTCTACTTTTCTTCTACACACGATGTCCAGAATTCAATCTGAGAGACAGACATAAGGAAACACCAACAAATTGTCAAGAAATGAGACAATAAACAGAATAGACCCAGAGATCACTCAGATGATAGACTCTAAAATAACTATGAATTGGCTATTTTTAAAAATCCCGCAAAACAGAAAACAAGTGTTGGCAAGATTCTGAAGAAACTGTAGTATAGCCATTATGGAAAACAGTATGGAGGTTCCTCAAAAAATTAAAAATAGAACCACCATATGATCCAGCAATTTCACTGCTAGGTATATATCCAAAGGAAATCAGTATGTTGAAGAGACATCTGCACTCCCATGTTCACTGCAGCACTATTCACAATAGCCCAAGATATGGAATCCATCTAAGTGTCCACCACCTGACAAACGGATAAAGAAAATGTGGTGTATATATACACGACAGAATACTATTCAGCCTTAAAAAAAGAAAGAAATCCTGTCACGTGAAACAGAAATAAATTTGGAGGACATTATATTAAGTGAAATAAACCAGGCACAAAAAGCCAAGTATCAGGCTAGGTGTAGCAGTTCATGCTTATAATCCTAGCACTCTGGGAGGCCAAGGCAGGGGGATAGCTTGAGCTCAGGAGTTCAATACCAGCCTGAGCAAGAGTGAGACCCTGTCTCTAAAAAATAAAAAAGGCAAATAGCACATGATATCATGTATATGTATACACATATTTTATATATGTGTGTGTATATACATTTTCCACATATATATCTATATATGGAATTTTTTAAAGTCAAACCTATAGAAGCAAAGAGGAGAACAGTGGTTACCAGGACCAGAGAGGAGGGGGAAGTAGGAAGATGCCGATGAAAGGATATAAAATTTCAGTTGGACAGGAAAAATAAGTTCAAGAGTGCTAATGTACAACAAGCTGACTGTAGTTAATAACAACATACTGTATAATACTTGAAAATTGCTAAGAGAGTAGAACTGTTCTCACCACACACACACATAAAAAATAAGTATGTGAGGTAGTGAATATGTTAATTGGCTTGATTTAGCCATTCTACAATGTATTCATATATCAAAATATCCTGCTGTACACCATAAGTATATACAACTTGTATTCATCAATTAAAGAAAATAAATTTTAGAAAAGAACGTGAAAAAATCAGAACCCTATACTTTGCTGGTGGGCATGTGAAATGTTGTAGCCCCTGTGGAAAACAGTTTGGCAGTTTCTCATAAATTTACACATATGTTCATGTAAAAATCTGAACATGAATGTTCATAGTAGCATTATTCATAATAGCCAAAAGTATCAACAACACAAATGCCCATCAACCAATGAAAGGATAAACAAAATGTGGCATATGCATCCATACATTAGAATAATATTTGATCATTAAAAAAAATGAAGTACTGATACATGCTTCAACATGGATGAATCTTGAAAACATTATGCTACGTGAAAGAAGCCAGATACAAAAGACCACATATTGTATGTTTCCACTTATAGGAAATATCCAGAATAGGAAATCTATAATGACAGAAAGTAGATTAATGATTGCCAGAGACTAGGAGAAGAGGGAAATTGGGAGCGACTGCTAATAGG